TCTTACGCTTCTGCTGTATGTGCATAACCTCGTTCTGGGTTTTCTGGTATGTTGGACTTCTATAGCTTTGGTCTTCTGGAATTCTGCATTCTTGAACATTCATCGGCTGCATTTCTGGACTTCTGGAGCTTTAGTTGTCTGTACTCTAGGCTTCGAAATCGTTGGTTTTCTGCAACTCTGGAGCTTTGGACTTCTGTAATGTTGGTCTTCTGAATTCTGGACTGCTACTCTTCTGGATGTCTTGAACTGCTGTCTTCTGGGACTAATGGCTTCTTGATGTTGATGATAAATGTCTAAATTTGCTTCTATTTTTGCTGCTCATGTCTCTGCTTCTGGACTGGTTGTCATTGTGATCGTACTCGTAGTTTTTGTTATGTTCGCTGAAACTGGAAAACTTCTGGGTAGTGCTTGCATTCATTATTGGAACTTAAAAATGTCTGCGTAGTGCTTGTTCGTCGTTAGAACTTGAAAACTCTCTGTGTGAAACTACTTTCTCTTCATTGTTGGTTACTTTGTGCTACGTTGTTTGACGTGTCTTAGAAATTGTCTCATAATGTCATTTTGCTGGGTAAACGTAGTAAAGCTTCTCAAGGCAACAAAATCGATTTATTATTATTTTTTTTGCATGTGTAGAAGTGTTGTTTACATTTCGCTGATGCTTGAAAGTTCTTGAAAAAACGTCACCAACACTGAACTTCTTACATCTGTGCATCTGTAGAAGTGTCTTGAAAAAAATGCTTGAGATCTTGAAAATCGTGAGTGAACGGTACCAAAATTTAGTATCTTGCTTCTCGTTCAAAAATGCTCCAGGTATTTGAAATCCTGGTCACGGCACCAAAATCGGACCTCCCCCTTATGTAGCACAGCTCTCTTCTTCGGTGCATATATTGTTGTCACACCCAGGTTCGTCTTTAGGTTTGCTACAGGAGGAGTCGATTGGAAGATTATAGACGAGGAGAAAGATGGTCGTGTCGATAGTGGTGGTGATGATGATGATGTCTTGCTTGTTGCATGCTTCTCATGTGACTCTGATGCTTGTATACAAAACAGCTGGAAACAACTCTTCTTGTCTGTACTGTCTTTATTGTGATACTTTAGCATTGACACAAATACATCAATAATATTCTGAATGGCGCTGTGTTCTCTATGGCTAAATACTCGTAGGTTCGCGTTGTGTTCTTCTTCTTTAGTTATTTTGTTAAACTGGTTCTAGTGTCTCTAACTGCCACCTGGCTTCTAGTACTGTTGGTACTAACGGCTTGATCGTCGACTCTAACATCTCTGTAGTGTTAATAATGTGTCTCTGTTGACCATGGATCCATGTATATCTTGTGTGTCGTCTCTGTAGCTCGATGTCTCGTTTCATGTCTGCTCTCCAGTGACTGTCTTCTAGGTTCAATATGAACGGCTGCTCTGCTTCCAGTGTTGAGCTGGCATCGAGGATCATTGAGACTAGTCGCTCGTCCTCTGAGTCTCAACGACTGAAGGCTTCTAGTGTTGGGCTTACATCTCTACCACTGAAGGCTGTCTTGAGAGTCCATGACTGGTCTCTCCTTTCTTGAGTCTTGTGGACTGAAGAATTTTTTAAAGTGCTTTGTTGCTCGCTATTTATACTTGGATGCTGGAATGCTAGGTATTTGTTTTCTTTTCGCTTTGTCCGCTTCTAGAATATTCTAGTACACCTCAACTTGTTTACTAGGTAGGTTCTCACATGGGATTTGCTAATTATATCTCGATTGCATCAGATTTCATCATCCTATTCTACGCAGATATAGTAGTTAAACTGACAATTGAGGTCATAGAAGCTTCTAGAAAAACAAGTAGAATTGCGTTTGCTTTGATAGGCACGTCAACAGGGTATTCACTAGTACGACAAGGTTGGGTCACATGATGAAAAGAATGCATTTCAAAACTTCTAGAAAGAAGGCTAAGGCCAGACAACATCAGTTTGATGTCAATAGCTTGTTTTGGCGAGAAAAGAAGATTCTGGAAAAGGGAATGTCAAGGCTGCCAAAACTTGTTGATTTTCAGTTCACCATAACTCTGCGTAATAACCCACTTCCTACAAACAAGTAATGGCTTAACTGTGTTACATTAATACAAGAGACATAAATTTAGAAAAAAAAGGGAGAGGGACAAAACGGTAGTAAGATAACATCTAAGAAGGGACAAGGTGCCAAGAACATAGTAGTAAGTTAACATCTAAGAAGGGACAAGGTGCCAAGAACATAATAGTAAGATAACATCTAAGAAGGGACAAGTTGCCAACAACATGGTAGTAAGATAATATCTAAGAAGAGACAAGTTGCCAAGAACATAGTAGTAAGATAACATCTAAGAAGGGACAAGTTGCCAAGAACTTAGTAGTAAGATAACATCTAAGAAGGGACAAGTTGCCAAGAACATGGTAGTAAGATAACATCTAAGAGGGGAAAAGGTGCCAAGAAGACGGTAGTAAGATAACATCTAAGAGAGGACAAGGCCCCAACAACACGGTAGTAAGATAACATCTAAGAGAGGACAAGGCCCCAACAACACTGTAGTAAGATAACATCTAAGAGGGGACAAGGCCCCAACAACACGGTAGTAAGATAACATCTAAGAGAGGACAAGGCCCCAACAACACGGTAGTAAGATAACATCTAAGAGGGGAAAAGGCCCCAACAACTCGGTAGTAAGATAACATCTAAGAGAGGAAAAGGCCCCAACAACATGGTAGTAAGATAACATCTAAGAGGGGAAAAGGCCCCAACAACACGGTAGTAAGATAACATCTAAGAGGGGAAAAGGCCCCAACAACACGGTAGTAAGATAACATCTAAGAGGGGAAAAGGCCCCAACAACACGGTAGTAAGATAACATCTAAGAGGGGAAAAGGCCCCAACAACATGGTAGTAAGATAACATCTAAGAGGGGAAAAGGCCCCAACAACACGGTAGTAAGATAACATCTAAGAGGGGACAAGGCCCCAACAACACGGTAGTAAGATAACATCTGAGAGGGGACAAGGCCCCAACAACACGGTAGTAAGATAACATCTAAGAGAGGACAAGGCCCCAACAACACGGTAGTAAGATAACATCTAAGAGAGGACAAGGCCCCAACAACACGGTAGTAAGATAACATCTGAGAGGGGACAAGGCCCCAACAACACGGTAGTAAGATAACATCTAAGAGAGGACAAGGCCCCAACAACACGGTAGTAAGATAACATCTAAGAGGGGACAAGGCCCCAACAACACGGTAGTAAGATAACATCTAAGAGGGGACAAGGCCCCAACAACACGGTAGTAAGATAACATCTAAGAGAGGACAAGGCCCCAACAACACGGTAGTAAGATAACATCTAAGAGGGGACAAGGCCCCAACAACACGGTAGTAAGATAACATCTAAGAGAGGACAAGGCCCCAACAACACGGTAGTAAGATAACATCTAAGAGGGGACAAGGCCCCAACAACACGGTAGTAAGATAACATCTAAGAGGGGACAAGGCCCCAACAACACGGTAGTAAGATAACATCTAAGAGAGGACAAGGCCCCAACAACACGGTAGTAAGATAACATCTAAGAGAGGACAAGGCCCCAACAACACGGTAGTAAGATAACATCTGAGAGGGGACAAGGCCCCAACAACACGGTAGTAAGATAACATCTAAGAGAGGACAAGGCCCCAACAACACGGTAGTAAGATAACATCTAAGAGGGGACAAGTTGCCAAGAACACGGTAGTAAGATAACATCTAAGAGGGGACAAGGCCCCAACAACACGGTAGTAAGATAACATCTGAGAGGGGGGACAAGGCCCCAACAACACGGTAGTAAGATAACATCTAAGAGGGGACAAGGCCCCAACAACACGGTAGTAAGATAACATCTAAGAGGGGACAAGGCCCCAACAACACGGTAGTAAGATAACATCTAAGAGGGGACAAGGCCCCAACAACACGGTAGTAAGATAACATCTAAGAGGGGACAAGGCCCCAACAACACGGTAGTAAGATAACATCTGAGAGGGGACAAGGCCCCAACAACACGGTAGTAAGATAACATCTAAGAGGGGACAAGGCCCCAACAACACGGTAGTAAGATAACATCTAAGAGGGGACAAGGCCCCAACAACACGGTAGTAAGATAACATCTAAGAGGGGACAAGGTGCCAACAACACGGTAGTAAGATAACATCTAAGAAGGGACAAGGCCCCAACAACACGGTAGTAAGATAACATCTAAGAGGGGACAAGGCCCCAACAACACGGTAGTAAGATAACATCTAAGAAGGGACAAGGTGCCAACAACACGGTACTAAGATAACATCCAAGAAATTCAACAACTGGGTGGTCAAAGTGACGTATGAATAGGCTGAGATTTCATGAGTTTGAAAACATTAGAACAAGGTGCACAAACTCTGCAAATGGGAGTGACCAGAGGATCCGGCAGACACTTTATGCTTAAAGAAAAGCAAAACAAACATATAATCAGACTGCAACTGACACTATTTGTTCTGGAACTCTGCTGTGGCTGCTGAAGATGTGGATTGGGCATTTATTAAGAAATCTCAAGTGTTATGATATCAGTTCATAACTGTTAAAGCAGTATTGTAATCAAATATAATAACAAATTATATCCTGAGAGGCATGAAATGCTATGTAGAGAGAAGACATGGAATTACCTTTAATGTTCTAGCAATGGTGGCTTTACTGATATCTCTCTCTCTCTCTCTCTCTCTCTCTCTCTCTCTCTCTCTCTCTCGTTCTCTCTGTCTTTATGTCTCTCTCTCTCTCTCGTTCTCTCAGTCTGTATGTCTCTCTCTCTCTCTCTCGTTCTCTCTGTCTGTATCTCTCTCTCTCTCTCTCGTTCTCTCTGTCTGTATGTCTCTCTCTCTCTCATTCTCTCTGTCTGTATGTCTCTCTCCCCCCGCTCCCACCCCTTTTTTAATCTCAACAAATCCCTCCTCTCCAATACAAAGACACCCAAAACTGATGAAATGTTGTAACATACATTCGTAGTGTTCTCAGAGGCTCCTCATCACTTCTCCGTTGAAGTGTTGCCAGGTTCACAGTTGGTATAGCACATCTAAAACAGCAGATTTAAAGTTAAGGCATGAGGAAAAAACACATATCTAGACACAGTGAAACAGAACAAATCAAAAGTGGCATTAACATTAAATGTACCTCAAATAGCGGTAGATCTGAAGAGTTATATAAATATAAATGAATAAACCTCTGATAAACTTAAACAAGGTGGACATTGTAAACAGGTCCCCAAATGGGTTTCGGGGTCCCATTGTGATGAAAACAAGAATGGACCCACTGCCTACCAAAAAGCATGTCGTAAAAGTCGACTAATTGGAGAGCTTCTTTGAAGTCCGAGTACATCTGCCTGAGAGGCAAGGAACCAACAGTCTGCATTTAAATGAATCAAATCTGTAAAACTGATGCACACACAACACTCAGGTTCTGGAGCAGGACTGCATTTTAGAAATGGACGAACAATCAGAGCTTTCCGCCAGAGTGTACAGCTGGTGAACGTGAAGAAAAAGAAGAAGAAGTGTAAAAAGGAAGACAATACAATTACATATATATAGCCCAATGGGCCATCCAGCCAAGGAGAAGTGAACAGAATCAGGCCAGTAATGACTACGACTTATTTGAAAGCAGAGACCAGTCATTATTTCCACTTTACAACAGGCTAAAACAAACTTAGTCTATGCTCTCAGTCTGCCTGAGTAGTTCACCACTGTGCCCATATGGGCTGTGTAAACAAACCACAGAAAATGTGCTGCAGCGCTTTTCCTTGTACAGCCCATTAATAAGAGAATACTCACATAAGTAGTCAACATCCTATTCAAAGCTGCATTAAACTAGAGAGTAACACACACACATGCACGCCCGCACGCACATGCATGCACACACGCACGCGGGGGCACACACACACAATCCTTCCCAAAATAAAAAGCAATACATTTGATCAAAAGACCTCATCAGTCGGCATAAAAACCAGGAATGCAGTAACGTGAAGAATCTCCATCTGGTCTCCTAGACTCCATTTACTGGGAAAAATGAATAAATCCACTGCTCCCATAAAAAGCATGCCATAAAAGGCAACAAGTTTAGAACTTGCTGAAATCAGACATGTTTGGGCTGAAGGGAACAGATATAGTCTAGCTGTAAACCACAACATAGCATGCCAACAATCCTTTAAAGGATGAATAAAGAAGAAGAAGAAAAAGATATACCATCTGAATGTGAAAGGGAAAGAAAATGATAACTGGCGATCTCATCACCAAGGGCCTTGCTGAAGAATGAGCTATATCAAGCTTCTTTACATCTTGTTACTCCACACAAGATGTATCAGTTCATGTGTCGACATCCTTCTATGCCATGACAATATGTTGCCAAGAATTTGTTCCCATATTCTTCATCTAGATCTCTTACCATAGCTCAGTGCAATTGTTGCGTGTTATAGTTTTCCTCTTCTGATAATCTGGCTAACAAATTATGATGATGTTTGTGATGTCTTTGGGTCTAAACCTCTTTCAAAAGTGATTTACAAGTAACTGATCACTGTTTGCTGATGATGATGCCACACAGAGAACAGAACCCCACCAACTAAAAAGTACAGAAATAGTGTCAAAAATAAGGAAATAACAGATTTCATTTATAACAAAAACAGGTGGAGTGATGTTTAGCCATGGAAGAATTGTCATAGTTTGTTATAATTCCAGTGCATTGTTAACAGGTATATTTCTAAATGATAGAAGCCACAGGTTGAAGAAGATAAGGTGTTTTAATGAAAACACAGTTCAGACTGAAATTAAGCCAACAGATTACGTGTACAGAGCATGCAATGAAGACAAGAACAGATTTTAAAAAAAAACATAAAGAAATATTGTACAGTGTATAAAAATAAATAAAAACAAAAAAACAAACCAGAAATCCTTTTATATGCCACATTGACAAGAATCAGCAGTCAAGAAAAGAGATCAAATTCTTCTTGTGCTTCAAACGAATTGTGACAACAGACATACATAGCAGAGTGCTAGACTCCAACAGTAACAGCTACAATTGAAGCAGCTTTTCCACACCGCAAGGTAGTCAAGTGATGCATGACCAGGTAGATATGATAAAGGCATGCAAAAAAATACAGAAGAACAAACAGATTTCCAAGGTCTAGAAAGAAATAATGCAAGCAACAGGAACAAGAGGATCTGGCAGACACTCAATACCTAAAGAAACAACAAGGATAACATATAATCAGACTACAACATTTATGCTGAATTAAGAATCAACATCACAGCACTTGGGACACTCCAATAAGTGCTCCCTCCCCATCTTCAGCAGCAAGAAAAGAGTTCCAATTCCAATGGCATCAGTAACTGTCTGATTGTATATCTGTCTTGCTTTTCACTTGAGTGTTGAGCATCGGCCAGATTCCCTGGTAACTCCTCGCAGTGCCATTCTCCTCAGACCGTAATGATCTATTCGTGCCTCCGCACTGTTCAATTGTGCCCAAAAGGACCCTCACAAAATCAAGCTTGTCAGACATTGATTCACCACCAAGTGTTGCAGAACTGGCCAGACTATCTCCTTGCTTGTTTCTCAACACACCAGCATAACCTAAAGAAAATATGCCAAGGACGCTAACTACCAGATGCGTGGGAAGCGATGCTTGCCACTCTGCACAGAGCATGCCTGTCTCTACCATTCTCAACATGCTTTGTGAGTTAGTTACAATTATGATATGTGTGTACAGTTGATTCTCAAGCAAGGAAAAGGCAGCAGTGACTGCCCCCACCTCCATTCTCAAACTTGACATTGTGATGTCATATGCCAGGCGTTCCTGCACTGAACGACGTCCATTCGCTTTTGCTATGAACCCCCATGCACTTCATCTGCCTCTTAACACAGAGCCATCTGTATAGATAATCACATCACCTGGGCGAGAATTGTGATGAATCATTTGTTGAAGTTCAGATTCTGCAGTGCCAGAAGGCCAGTCCTTGTACTCATGCCTCAAAGTGATAAGAACTCTACACAAGTCTGAAACTTGATCGTACACTTTCTTTGACCCATTCCTCTCCTCACCTAAATGTATCAAGCCTGCACTACAACATTTGTATTGGAACTCTATGCTAGCTGCTGAAGATGGAGACGGAACATTTATTGAAATGCCCTAAGTGTTGTGATGTCAGTTCTGAAGTCAACTTAACCATTCTCAAGATGCATTTAATTTAAAAATGCCTGTCTAAAAAAATGTTGAGCTAGCATTGAAAGTTTGCGGGAAATTTTTCAAAATGCTAGAGGTAGTTGAACACAGCTAAAAATATGTTTTTACCTGTCACAAGGCGCCAGAACTCTCATTTTTAAACTGTTTCCAATCTTAAGATGTGACCAGTTGTCCTGTAGTTAAACAGTTTGTATAATCAATTCAGTTGCTTAATTATATTATTTAAAAAGCAAACAGATAATAAGAGTTCTGAGTTATAAGTTATAAGTTGGATTATCTTCACAGCACTGTGGACACATCCTCCACCCCCAACGTATTCATCAGAGTTGTGCGGTTAATAGTTCCAGTCCTATGCTGGTTAAAAAAAACTTCGTTTGTGCCCAATGATTGGCTGGGCCAATCTTTACTCCCAATTCTCGTATTCTTAGCAGTGATGTGGACTTGTTGCTTCCAAAATCCTATCTCTCTAAGGGCATTGACAATGTCTGCATGATCCATAGGCCAGCTATCTTGAATTAATGAGTCACCTGCCAGATCAAACAGCTCTTTCATTACCAACAACACCTGCATGCCCTTGGACAAATATGAAGATAACTGCACACACAGGAGAGTTGGGCAATGACTCAATCCACTGTCTGCGTAACCAGCCTGCCTCGACCACTCTGGGTCATGCTCAAAAGATCATTCAGCACACACATGCGGAAATAGTTCTGTGATTCTAGCCACATGAAAGCTTGTGTCACCATCATTACCTCCACGTCATGTTGCTGGTAGTCATGGAGAAGGCACCGCTGGCTTCTTAATCAGTTCTGCCTGAAGAGTAAATGTCCATGCACTCATATGTACTTGTATAACTGACCCGCCTGTGAAGATCAGTACATCTGTCTGATCTGATTTGTCACTGAAAGCTTCTGTCACATACCTGGGCATTGACAGCAGCGGGATCCTGCTCCCGACAACAATCAAGCTTCACGACACAGGAGAATGTGAGATTGGGTGCTTTAAATGCTGGTATCAGCTCTTCACCTGGATGGATATCTGTAAGGCTGCAGATCTGCATGATGTCATCCTCTGCCCAACCCAGCCATGATTTGCCCCTTTTAATTCTATTGCCCTACATAATATTTAAAAAAACAACCAAACAGGTGGTTTGGTATGTGTGTGTATACAGTCAGTCTGTCAGTGAGTGAGTCAGTCAGCTGGTCAGTGAGTGAGTCTGTCAGTTGGTCAGTGAGTGAGTGAGTCAGTTGGTCAGTGAGTGAGTGAGTCAGTCAGTGAGTGAGTCAGTCAGTCAGTCAGTCAGTCAGTCAGTCAGTCAGTCAGTCAGTCAGTGAATAAGACTGTCAGTGAGTCAAGTCAGTCAGTCAGAAGGTGATTCAGCCAACTGACAAAAAAATAAAAATAAAAACTTATAACTAAAAACTCAATACTCAATAAACTCCCCCCCCCCCCCCCAAAAAAAAACTCAAAATGCAAAACTCAAAGGTCATAAAGGTCATAACTCAAAACTAAGAAAATTCATAACTCAAAAAACTTATAACTCGAAACTCAAAATGCAAAACTCATAACTCAATACTCGTATCTCAAAACTCCAAACCCCAAAATGCAAAGTGAGTGAGTGAGTGAGTCAGTCAGTGTGTGAATCAGTTCAGTGAGTGAGTCAGTCAATTGGTCAGTTAGTGAGTCTGTCAGTCAGTGAGTAAGTAAGTGAGTGAGTCAGTCAGTCAGTCAATCAGTCAGTGATTAGGTCAGTCAGTCAGTCATTGAGTCAGTCAGTCAGTCATTCGGTCAGAGTGAGTCAGTCAGCCAGTAAGTGAGTCAGTCAACTGGTCAGTAAGTGAGTCTGTCAGTCAGTGAGTGAGTGAGTCAGTGAGTGAGTAAGTCAGTTGGTCAGTCAGTGAGTGAGTGAGTCAGTCAGTGAGTTAGTGAGTTGGTCAGTCAGTGAGTCAGTCAGCCAGTAAGTGAGTCAGTCAGCTGGTCAGTTAGTGAGTCTGTCGGTCAGTCAGTGAGTAGGTCAGTGGGTCAGTCATTGAGTCAGTCATTGAGTCAGTCAGTCGGTCAGTCAGTCAGTGAGTGAGTGCTTCAGTGAGTGAGTCAGAGAGTTATTCCTTGGTTTCTTAGTATATGGTCTGCCAGGTTTTTCCTGCTTATAGGCAATGTCAAAACAGTATCACATAAATCAGCACGATTGAGACTGCATAAAACAACAAACTGATGTACTGTCTGTACAAGAGCTAAAATAGGGAAGCTAGTCATGACTTTGACTGTGTATAGTTTTTCAAAAATAACAAGCAAATGTGGTGTAGGAGTGTTCTAAATACAAAGAATAGAAACAACATTTATGCTCTACATTAGATCAGGCCAAGGGCAAACTTTGTGGTAATGGCAACAACTACAGTTAGACTGCTGCCTTATTTAAATATTCAGGTTTATCTTTACATATACGAAGACCCACATCAGATCAGCAAGAATGACACAACAAAGACATTTCCGGGGTAATTTCTAAAGGAAATGAAGAAATACAATTAAATTAAAATAGAAATGCTCACATACTTCATCCCAAGCTTCTTTGATCCCCTGAATGACAATGTTGGGTCGAAAGTTCTTCATGGTAATTTGTCCCTCTGGTGATGGTTCTATTCGAGACACCAGATTAGCTAATGATTCTTCTGTAATTATATGGTAAGGACTTTGATCTGCAAAGACCACCTGAAAAAATATTTCACCTTAATAATTAAGGCATCACAGTTCATGTTTCTAGATTTAAAAGAGCGTTTAAAGTTATCTACCCTATAGAAATAAACCATTCCAATCATAATGCATAAAAACATGATGAATATAGAAAGAGTCAATAAAGACTGAAGCAGCATATCAGATTATATGTGGTAGAAAAAAAAACAATACTCCTTGATTCTCCATGTTTGTTAAACTACCGACTAGCTTATTTCCACTTTTCTCCATCTATACCAGACTAAGAAGATCCATCTTTCTACATTCTTAAGAGTAAATGTTCTCCTGTTCACTTGAAATAAGTTGTCTATTTTTGTAGTTTTATCTCTCACACAAATTTCACTTTTTTCCTAGCTCATTCAGTGGTCCGTAAAGTTTACTTTCCACTGTTATTCTTTTTTCACTTGAAGGTTTTCCCTTATTTGTCATATTGGAGCAGTCTTGGAGTTTGTGTTCTGCTATCTGAGATGCTGTTCCACATGTCCACTTGCTGATGCACCAGTGTTATATTTCACATACATGTGGCTGTGTGATTGATTGTACCCTCTTCTGAGGTGCAGGAAAATGTTAGACTACTGATTTGCAAGTTTCCACTTTTCACCAGGTTTTTTTTCTTTCTTTATTTAGACGGCTAACTAGCAAGATTCCACTGTTCACCATTTCTTTTTTTAGACTAGTGACTAGTATGTTTTCAATGTCTTTCCTGCATCATTGATCATACTGTAGCAGCCTTGAGATATTTGACTAGGGTGTTTAGAGGCAAGAGGATGGCTTTGCTGTACTGATTGTCATCCAATATGGCCTGGTCTCTTTAAGAGGTGGCTGTTCATTTGTCTATAGCAGGACGACTCAACCGGTGGCATGTGGGCCAAATCTGGCCCTCAGAGACCTAGCAAGCAGCCTGCAGATCATTACCAGTTGTATTATATCCCGGGCCTCTAACCAGTCCCCATCCCTTTTTCAAAATTTTGATCTCTCAGTAAACTTAGTTGAATAGCACTGGTCTAGAGAATGCATGAAGCACAAAATTCCATAGCTCCTAGGATGACCCTCAGGGATCTCTGAAACACTTGCACTTGGGAACCAAAGGGCAGAATCTAAAAACATATTTTGTTTAAGCTTAACCATGTCACGGTGAAGATTCCTATTACTAGGTACAGTATTTCAGCTATGAAGTAATTAAATGACGTGCATGCAACTGTTTACAGATCGCAGATTTGGTGTCATTTTCTAGACAAGATAATGCTGTTAATTTCCCTGATCTACACATACAATACTCTTGCGGACTGTCTGTCCTTTATCCTTGACAGATAGATTTTAAAGTTTAACATCATCATACTTAATTATAACAGGCAGGATGAAATTAACACCTATAACTGTGATGGAGAAGATGGCGATGATCTAAACGCTGACAAAACACAGAGACACAAACGTACTGTGTGTATACAAGCAAAAAAGTTGCTTAGCATGCTTGGACACCCAATAAAAGAAAGATTCCAAAATCTAGCAATAGGGTAATTAGAAAAGAATCAGTTTAATCCACTAGGCCAACAACTCTGCAGGCAAACCACTCTTCTGCCTGCAACTGATAGCCCCTTAAATGCTATTCCAGATCAGACCACCTAGAGAGAGGACTATAAGTTGCAAATACACATCCAGACTGAAGTAAACAGAGTATTCAACAAGGAAGAACAAAACAGTGTGCAGCATAAAACAGCCACCTTCAGTCTACGTGATGATAAGTACCCACATGATCTTCGGGTGCACGTCTACACGGATTGGTCAGCACAACACGCCAGCAGAAATGGAAGTGCAGGAGTCTATACAAGACAGTTACCATATTATGGACATTATTCTTTACCATAGAACACAGCACAATCAACTTCACAGCCACATGTACACAAAATTTCATCAGTCATCAGTTCTCGTTATGCCTAGTGGTACATGAGGCTTCAGAGAGGACTTTCAATACTTTCCTGTCCTGTGCAATCTTCAGTGCAGTTTTCCATGTCAAAGATGCCGCACTCAGGTCACTTTCCATCGTTCGTCTACATGTTGTTTTTGGGTGCCCCTGTTTTCTCTTTCCCTCTGGTGTCCATGTGAGAGCTGTTTTGGCAGGTATATCAGAACGTGGCCAAGCCATTTCCATCTTCTCTTGGTAATCATACTGTCTAAAGTTTCTTGGTTTGTGGCTTTAAGTAGTTTAGTGTTTGAGATTGTATCTGGCCAGAAAATTTTGATAATTCTATGTAGACATGTGTGGTGGAAGGTGGACAGCTTGTGTGCATCCTTTTTGGTCATTCTCCAGCATTCCGCTCCATAGAGAAGAACTGGCAAAATGATGCTCTTGTAGAAATGGAGTTTTGTTCCTCTGCAGTAATTGTTGGATTTCCAGATTTGCCTCATCCTTCCAAAAGCAGCTCTAGCTTTGTTCAGGCGTAACTGTATGTCTTCCTCTGTCCCTCCCAGCAGGGACACCACACTGCTAAGATATATGAAATGTTCTACATTTTCAAGTGATTGGTTACTTATGGTCACTGGTTGTTGGTTTGGACTGTTTGTCATGATCTTTGTTTTCTTTGTATTTATTCTCAGTCCCACCATTTCTGCTGTGCAGTGTAGTCTGTTACTTTTCTCTTGTATATGTTCATGTTTATGTGATAGGAGTGCTATATCATCTGCAAAATCAAGGTCCTCAAGCATGATGAATGGAGTCCATCGTATGCCTCTTAATGTCCTGTCTATTGTGTTCTTTAGTATCCAATCAATCACAAGGTTGAAGAGGAGAGATGACATAACACATCCCTGTCTTACACCTGTCTTTACTGAGAAAGATGTATTGTAATTTTTTATACTGCAGGAAAAGTCTTTATAGAAGTGAGCAATTATGTTGACTATTTTTTCTGGAATTCCATAATGTCCTAAAATTTTCCACAGACCGTCTCTATGGACGCTGTCAAAAGCGTTCTCAAAGTCCACAAAATTAATATATATACTTCTCTGCCATTCATTGCATTGTTCTAAAATGTTACGTATGGCGAAGATGTGCTCAGTTGTTCCTCTGCCCTTTCTGAATCCTGCTTGTTCCCCTCGTAGGCATTTATCTACTCCTTTTTCAAGCCGCATTATGATGATTTTACCAAATATTTTGCTTGGTACTGAGAGTAGAGTAATTTCCCTCCAATTATTGCAGTCTGTTAAGTCTCCTTTTTGGGGATTTTGACTATTGTTCCTTCAGTCCAGTCATCAGGCAACACTTCTTTTTCCCAAATATCCTTGAACAATGGTTCTAGAAGGCTAGCAGTTGTGTTGGGATCTACTTTGAGAAGTTCTGCTGGCAGTTTATCTTTGCCTGGTGCTTTGTTGTTCTTTAAAGTGTGGATAGCTTTAAGGATTTCTTGTTTCCTTGGTGGTTCAGTAATAATGTCAATGTCCTGAGAGGCTGGTTGAATATCTGGGGGATGTTCAGGATCAGGTCTGTTCAAAAGGTCAGAGAAGTGTTTAGTCCACTGCATGTCTCGTGTTTGTTCTGTGGTGAGCAGTCTGTCTTGGTTATCTCTGATGGGTATGCTGTGATAATTGTTTCTGCTTCCGCAAATTTGCTGGGTAATTTTGTGTAGGGTTTGTAGATCATGTGCTTTAGCCGCATTTTTTGCTGTTTCAGCAAGATTTTCCATAAATCTTCTCTTGTCAGCTCTGGCACTTTTCTTTGTCATTTTATTTAGTTCGCTATATTCTAACATTAGTTTGTCTTTCTGATGTTCTGATCTAGTGTGATTTATGAGGCTCTTTATTCTTTTTAGCTTGGCAATATAGTCCATGGTTTGACTGCTTATCCATTCTTTGTGATGTTGTTTCCTGGTTCCTAATATGTTATTGCTAGTTGATTTGTATGTTTCTTTGATCTCGTTCCATCTGTCTTGAATGCTGATTGTAGTTAGAGTTTCTGGGTCACTTGATAGGGTTTGAAATCTATTTTTGAGTTCTACTAAAAATTTAGTGGCAATGTCTTTTTCTCTTAAAAGGTTAACATCGTAACTTGCTGTTTGTGTCTTAACTTGTGTGTAAACTTTTTTGAGTTTAAGTCGTAGTAGAGCGACTACAAGGTGATGATCGCTTCCCACATCTGCTCTCCTTTTGACATGCACATCGAGTAGGGACCCACGCCATTTTCTGTTTACCATAAAATGGTCGATCTGGTTTACATCTTTTCTGTTTGGGGATATCCATGTAAGCTTGTGTATATTCTTGTGAGGAAATAGTGTTCCTCCTATAACAAGTCTATTGGCCGTGCAGAAGTCGCTCAGTCTTTCTCGTTGTCATTAATTGTACCACATCCTTGATTTCCCATTGATAGTTCTCTATCAAAGTTGTTGTAACCAACTTTTGCATTGAGATCTCCCATAATGCATAGAATATCATGGGCTGGTACTTTATCTACTACCTCTTGCAGTCTCCTAAAGAATGTTTCTTTATCTTCATCTTCAGCTTCATTAGTAGGTGCGTAGCATTGGATGACTGTAAGTTTGGCATGTTTGCCATTGAATCGTGCTGTCATTATTCTTTCATTGATTGGATGCCACTCGATGAGATGTTTGTGTATACCTTTCTTCAAAATAAGTGCCACGCCTGCAAAATGTAGGTTATCATCTCTTCCAGAGTAAATTATGGTTTCTCCTGTACCTGTTGTGGATTGTCCAAACCCTGTCCACCTGCTTTCACTAATTCCAAGAATATGCAGTTTATAGTTCTGCATTTCTTTAATTACTTGGGTGGTTTTGGCCGTTTCAAACATGGTTCTTACATTCCAGAAGCCAATTCCTAATTTGGTTTTGTCATCCAGCAGACTTGTTTTCCCATCATGGGCTTCCTTTCGGCTTTCCCCCATGTAGTTCATGCTGATAGAGGGACTCTGTCCCAAGACCACCGGATGTTTAGAGCACTTATTTCCTCTTAAAGTTTCAGTAACGTTGTAGATTTTTTACAGGGCAGAGCTGTCAACACTGTGCCCAACCCCCGGATTGGATTTAGGATTGGTGAATCAACCTTGTGCACATGTGGACTGGCAACTGACACAATAGATCATATCCCCAAAGACTGTCCCAAACACAACATATCTAGCCAAGAGAAACAGACATAAATAATCTGTTTCAAGGGAATGAAAGAAGAAATCATACTCAGACAATGACAGCATGCAGTAAAGGGAAGACAATGTCTGACAAACACACGGAATCTTACTTTGTCTGTGCTGATGGCATTTGCTGTCGGGCTCTGCCTCATTTCTAGTCCTGGTACAAGGACCAACAACCTCAGATCCTCACTCAAATACTCGCTTATCCAAGATGCCACCTCGTCACCACAGTCCTGGGCCTCCAGGTGAAATATCCAAACTCTGAAAATAACGGCAGTACTGAATTAGTTCTGTTCTGCTTCACTTATAGCGTAGAATATAACAGCCACATTTCCACAGTTCAGCTTACTGTATAGAATATAACAGCCACATTTCCACAGTGCAGCTTACTGTATAGAATATAACAGCCACATTTCCACAGTTCAGCTTACTGTATAGAATATAACAGCCACATTTCCACAGTTCAGCTTACTGTATAGAATATAACAGCCACATTTCCACAGTTCAGCTTACTGTATAGAATATAACAGCCACATTTCCACAGTGCAGCTTACTGTATAGAATATAACAGCCACATTTCCACAGTTCAGCTTACTGTATAGAATATAACAGTACTATATATTTTTTTATTCTTTGTGTTTACTGGCTGTAAACTTTGGCAGAAAGTTATGGTTGTTCATCCACTTCTGGACTTTAGTCCTTTTCCAGAATTTGAGTGTTGTGTGCACATTCTTTAACAAAGCAAACTGACTTGTGTGCAGATTATTGGTTTCTTGCCTCAGGCAGATGCACTCTGACTTTGAAGGAAGCTCCCAATTAGTCAACTCTTAAGACATGCTTTTTGGGCAGGCATATATATATATACACACACACACACACGCGCACGCGCACACACGCACGCACGCACGCACGCACGCACGCACGCACGCACGCACACACGCACGCACGCACGCACGCACACACACACACACACACACACACACACACACACACACACACACACACACACACACACACACATATATATATATATATATATATATATATATATATATATATATATATATATATATATATATATATATATATATATATATATATATATATATATATATATATATATATATATATATATATATATATATATATATATATAAAACCATTGCTGATATGCTTTGCCCGTTGAAACAGGTAGGATGAATATTTTAATCTTACCTGCATAGAACCACCTTTCTTCTGTCCAGTTTTGGGTACAAAGGGACTCTAATGTCTGGCATACCGTCTGCTCTAAGTACTAGATCTTGGCCATCACAAACTGTCTCAATTCCTGCCATCTTCGGTAACTGCCGCTGGGTGACAAAATCACCGTTTGGATGAACAATCACAAACTGCCTGTAAAATATATTTGTAATTGAACATTGCATTTACTGTGCATCAACTCCTGTTTTCCACTAGTGTTTAATTTCAGTCATAATGCTTGTTTTCTAACACTGACATAGCAATCCAGAGGTTGTAAAATGTGTATAAACAATGGTACAACAATTTCATTGTACGTTTTAAGATCATCTTCGTTACACGCTGGACATGACCATAAGTGATCAGATCTCCTCCTTAGTTTGTCTCCAAGTGTTTTTAGGCTAACAACTCGTACAACAAAAGTAGATGAATGAAAGCAACAAATAGAATATGCATGTTTCTTGTGGCAACATATAAATCTGAATCACATATAATTTCATCAGAACTAAAGAAACAAATATCAGGTTATTGAACTTAAATGCTACAGTATATTGTCAGAAGAATTTAATTCTTTTTTTCTTCCTCCTCCACCTCATTCTACTTCTTCTTCATCATCTTTTCTTCTTCTTGTTCCTCTTCTTCTTGTTCCTCTTCTTCTTCTTCTTCTTCTTCCTCTCCTTTTTCTTCTTCTTCTTCTTCCTCTGCTTTTTCTTCTTCTTCTTCTTCTTCTTCTTCTTCTTCTTCTTCACGAAGAAATTTCAAAAAGCAGAAATACTTACATTGTAGAAGATCTGAACACTGAAAAATACTGGCTCCTAAACAAGGTGTGAAAACATAAACATCACTGTGGTTTAGACGGAATATGGTTCCTGGAACAAGGTGGCATGTGTCAGCAGCACAAAAACAAACAAAGGAAATTAAACATATGAAAATGTCTGGGGCAGATAAAATAGTTTCAACAGGCTATGAACAGAGTGACATATTCGAAAGAGGAAGAGTGAAACCAGCCAATATGGCTGTCTGCAGAATGCAAACTTGGCCATTGATGTACTCTAAAAATCACTGTTCGCTATGTTATCCTAGTACTTTGTGTGTGTGTGTGTGTGTTCACACATGCGCATGCATTTACATGTGTGTGTGCACATGTGTGTGTGTGGTGTTGGTGCATGCATGTGTGTTGATGTGTGTTCTGGTCTTGTCAGGGTTACTGCCTTTTTCATTGTGAAAATGGTTTCTATGATTTTATCTGGCATAAGAGTAGAGCAATTATGGGGTGACCTATTGCCAAGAGAGGGGTCACAGTGGTGTAGTGGCTAGATGCTCACTGGGGAATAGGAATGTCACAAGTTCAGGTCCTGATGGAGCTGGACGTTTTTTTTTAAACAATGACCTTTGCTTCCAGGTCAACTCAGCCTTAAATGGTTATCAGGTATAGCCCATGGAAGTAAAGGCGGCTGGCATAATGATAACCGCATCAGCCAAGTTAAAAAACATAAGGAGGATACAAAGATTGGACAGCGTGACATAAGTTAGCTGACTTCTTATTGGGATTCAGAGGTGCACGCGCAGGAACACACGTACACACACCCCCCTACACAAACACACAAAAGGAGAATATCCCTAAGGCATCAGAAATCAAATATCTTTAGCTACAAATATCCAGGAAAACAAATACCCAATCTTTGAAAATCTTCAATAGAATTATGAGATTTAGACTGGTCATAATTTTTATGTTTTTTACCTGTCTTTTACATTTAACATCTAGATTCCAGACACAAATACCCAATCTATGAAAATCTTCAATAGAATTATGAGATATAGACTGGCCATAATTTTTATGTTTTTTACCTGTCTTTTACATTTAACATCTGGATTCCAGACACAAATACCCAATGTATGAAAATCTTCAATAGAATTATGAGATTTAGACTGGCCATAATTTTTATGTTTTTTACCTGTCTTTTACATTTAACATCTGGATTCCAGACACAAATACCCAATCTATGAAAATCTTCAATAGAATTATGAGATTTAGACTGGCCATAATTTTTATGTTTTTTACCTGTCTTTTACATTTAACATCTGGATTCCAGACACCGTACAAAAGGCCACATCATTTGTTATACCTCCACAGGATTTTACTGGGTAGCAGTTCAATGCAGAAACTTTGCCAACAAGTTCATATTTCTTCTGTTTACGCTTGGACAAAAATACAGCAGCAGTAACAACAGCAGCAGCCACAGCAATAGTACCAAGTGTAACTTTTGAACTCAGCGGGCCTGACCAAACAGCCATTTTTGGAATTCACACTGAAAAAAATGGTAGTGTCACACTACTTTACAATATTGGATGGAGGATTGTTCTTTTACATAGATTGTATTTGTAACAAATAAGGGGTATATAATTCCCATTACAGAAGTACAAAGTGCTAGGTATTTATGTATACAAGGCATATTTGAAGAACAGAAGAGGTAGAAGATGATTATGGCCTGGAGAGAATGATGCACCTGGGTGTAACCAGAGGGTCTGGTTGGCTCACTGCACTCAGAGGAGAGGCAAGACGGCAATATAACCAGATTACAACCCGTACCATTAGTATTGGAACTCTGCGCTGGCTGCTGAAGATGAGGACAGAGCATGCATGGGAATGCCCCGAGTGGTGTGATGTCAATTCTTGACTCAACATCTAAAGAACAGTGGCATCTTTTTCTGAAGTCATGTATTCAAATCACCCATTATTCAAGGACATTTTTTCAGTGACCTGGACTCAGCCTAAAATGGGCAATCACTCTGACTGAAAATGTTGAATAAGGAAGGACCTTTACTTTGTTTTTAACTCAGTTTTACTTGATTGGCTGAGATTTTTTTCATTCGCTCTATATTGATTTCTTTATCATACCATTTTAATCCTTTTACTCAGACATCAATTATGAATATCTGAAGTTTAGTACTTCAAAATTCAATTTTTTCAGGGAGGAAGAATTAGCACTATAGAAATCAAATATCTTTTGACAATGTGGTCGAAATCCAAGGAATCTTTGAGAGATGGCACTAAAGCCCTAGTTAACAGGTGTGTTAATTTATTCAATGGTAATATACTTGAAGTATCACGTTAGGGCTCTGATACTAACGCCTCCCGTTACCACAATAATGAAATGCTGTGCTGCAAAGACAGACCAAGGCCAACAGCTACTTGAAGGATTCATGACCTAATCAAGTTATAACTTACATTCTTGTTTTATTTAGTATTTCCTCAATTCCCTGCTTCTCCCTTGTCAGTAAACATGTAAGTGTTCTAAGCAGCGGGGGGGGGGGGGGTGGGGGTGGGGGGGGGGCTGCTTCTGACTGCATATATAGAAAGCTGGTGATCTCTCTGTCAAGCCTCTAAAATAAGTATTATTATGCGCTGAATAGTAAATTAATATACTAAAAAAGTTTGCAAGTAATTCAAAACGTATTAACAAAGAATAAAAAAATGTCAAAGGGATAGAAAAAAGGAGTACATTACTTAGCCTTGCAAATCTTCTAGAGTGCCTCACACCCATCCCCTCAACTGACCTGAGTGCCCGATTTCTACTGAGCGCGCGCTCCATAACCTACTGATAACACTGAACGCTAGATCCGGTCCTTGACTAAATTAAAAGAAAATATTACACTTCTACTTTTGTGAAATATGTACAATCAAGAGTTACCTGCTGTGACAAGTGTTGTTTCCTGAACTAAGAAGAAGTGAGATAAAGTAATAATACTGATATGAATACAATGTGATATATCCTTGTACTGATAACAGAAGGGAACTTGCAGTTTGTTTCTCCTTTTACAGCAGCTGAAACACAAAACTTTCTGCTAGTTCATAATATGTAAGTGTCCCCATCACAATACAACACCTGGTCACGCTGTGTAGCTAACTCGACACAGCTCGTCTTACAAGCAGAGATTCCCCCAGCACTCTCGTGTCATAAATAGAATAACACTTAAGAAGTGGAATATAAACGACAAGTTAATTTATGTGCCATTTCCAAAATAAACATGCTGAGCACTCAAAATAGTCGCAGAAAGCTAACATCAGAAAATGTCACGGATAATTGTTCTGACAAATGTCTAGAACTATCAGCTAAAAAATTTTCATGATTACTTCAGGGCAAAACTTGACACAGTATTGGACATGTTAACTGCTCCGAAGATATCTCCACCTTGCCGCGGCGGTGGGGTGGGGGTGGGAGAGGGGAAGGCTTGTGTTTCTCAACGATCCAAGGGGCAATGCTGACTGTGGCTAACCGCTTGGCCTCACACAAGCCGGACAGGTTAAGGGGTAGAGAACAGTCGAAGAGAGAACCCTGGTCCTCCTGATTGGGAGTTGAATCGCAGGGCTGACACCCCCACCTTCGTATAACTTCATTTCGTCATGAAACATATCTTAGCCTCGGTATTTGATTGCTTGAAACGGACAACTACCTGCAACGTTAACGCTAAAACAGTCAAGTCTTACGACGAATCTTTGGACCCATCAAAGATGCAAACAGCGGGAAATTGAGAGTGAGAAGTAATAACGAAATTCATCATCTGTTTAAATAACCACTGATCACTGGCATAATGAGGGCTAATAGACTAAAAAGGCTGCGGCATATTGATAGAATGCCAGAAGACAGAGAGGTAAAATCTGTATATACGTGGGAGGTGGATAGTCGTAGACCACGAGGCAGACCAAGATGACGATGGAGAGAAAATGTCAAAACAGACATATAAACACTTGGTGTCACCAACTGGAAAGAAAAAGTCAACCAGAGAAATAAATGGAGGCAGGTGATAGCTGCAGCAATGAACCTCAAAGACTCGGAATGCTGAAGAAGAAGAAGAAGAAGAAGAAGAAGAAGAAGAAGAAGAAGAAGAAGAAGAAAAAGGAGAAACTATCCCTTATCAGAAAACACAACTCTATATATCACAGTTAGAACACACAAAGAGTGTACGGAGTATCCCTGCGTCATACATGAAATTTTTAACGCCAAAGGTAAAGGACCGTTCTTGTGCTTTTAATGACATATGGTGCTGTACCAATAATTTATGCAACAGTCATCCCACGGGAAGTGATTTAATCATGGCTTATTCTGGGTCGGCACTCAGCCTAAAGTATCTAACAAAGGTGCCAGTACTCACCATAAAGTGTCTGTTACAGTGAAAACTAATGATGTCTAAAAATGTGCCGCTACAATGTACCGCTGTGTAACGCCAAGGCCTGGAGGTCATCAACAGCACGTCGGTCGGTCACCTTGACATCAACCGTTTCTACCTGACACTTAATTTAGGCTGCGACGACCCGGGAACTCAGATCCGCCGCCCCTGTGAGACTAGCACTGACCACTACGCCACACCGACCCACAACACGGTGCTGTAGTTGATTGTTAACGCGCCTTTAGGGTCCCCTTTATAACTGTGAGAATAGTATATTGTGGATAACACAATAACAGGCTGGCTGCATTTCGTGGAAACACCATAATCAAAATGAAAGGTTTTTGAGTGACTGAGACCCAGAAGAAATAGACAAGGGAAATGAAAGGAGGACACTAAAGCCATAACACACCTAGGCTCATTTTACGTTTTTCGCCCCAGAAAGAGAGTGGCTTCCCTTGCCCTTTATGCCTCATTGGGTTGAAGCACCTCTCATATGTTGCGGAGGTGTTATGACATGGCCTGATTAGGCGTTCGCTAGGCGTATGTAATGTTTCTGTGAGGTTGTGTTGTCGCTAGTCTATTTCAAGCACCGCAGGTGCCTGTGTACAAGTAAGAAGTACTGCAGAGAGAAGCGTCGCAGGCGCGACGATTCTTAAATATCGAAACTGGGACGTGTTTTTTTTAACGTTCGCTCCCCCCCACCCCCCGAGAGAAAAAAAAAGCACTCATATGTAAGGTAAGAATATTAAAATATCTCTGTTTGCATACTACCGAACTGTCGCGCAGGTCCAGAAAGTGAGAATAATAACGCAAACGAGCGGTAAGAAGACCGGAAAAGAGGGAACGGTTAAAGCGTTGAAATAAGGAGAACATAATACCCCCGCAACGCAGAAGCGGTCTTGCGACCCGACGAGGCATGAATGGCAAGGGAAGTCACTCTCTTTCTGGTGAGAAGTTGATAATATAGAGGTACAAGAACAAGAGCAGACAGCGATACGAGTGAAAGGAAAACAACAAGAGATGAAGGAACAGCAGTCTGGGAGAATGTGCAACGAAGGCAAGATAAAGACAATGTTGGAGATCTATTATCTTTATTGTGGAAACAGCACTTGATTGCAAAGTAAGCCTGGTTGAAATGTACATTGCAGAAACGCCGACTGTCTAGTGAGAAAATGCAACCGAGGGTTTTGAGAAGAGATGAACACAGCAATGTCACAGTGATATGTAACAATGTGGAGGTCCTAGAGAACCATTGGAATGTAAAGAACTTGATGCCAGCAGTTTGAAGAGATAGAGATAGAGATAGAGATAGAGAGAGAGAGAGAGAGAGAGAGAGAGAGAGAGAGAGAGAGAGAGAGAGAGAGAGAGAGAGAGAGAGAGAAAGAGAGAGAGAGAAAGAAAGAGAGAGAGAAAGAGAGAGAATAGTTTGCTCACATCAAAATACACATAATTCTTTTACAAACCAATGCATATGAAAACGCTGAAGACGGCAGAAATAATAATAATAATCACAATAATAATAATCACAATAATAATAATTTAGAACAATATTTTCTGTTATAAATTCAATTAGTGAGAGCACAAATCACTCGCCATCGCAGCTCGTGACAAGTGACTACCAAAAAGTGTCATACTAAATACAAGCTAGTTACGTATCTTTTACAGGACGTTGCAGAACCAACCCCAACATTTTTCGGCTGTTGTGGTTTTTCTAGGCAAATTTGTGCTCAATAGCTTGCTACTGCTACTTAACGGTCGGCTCTAGATACCACTGTCAAAATTAACGCAAGGCAGTATGCTGTCAAATCAACTGCAACTGGGATCGAACCATGCACCCCGGCATTACGAAGCCCGTTCCCAACGCCTAAGCCACAAACGTCGAGATATTGAGTTAGCACAGACACCTTATTGTTGTACGTTTGTTAAGGTATAGCAAAATCAAACCAGACCGTTTATAATTATCGTGTGCTCGGTTCCAGACGATCTCTAGCGACTGAATGACCCACAGTAGCGTAGGATATGTTCAACATCTTATTGGGACCATAGTACCAGGGTGCGCAAGCTGGGTAGACACAACTTCTACAGCAGCGCAGATTGGCTCTACCCAGCATGACCATGAAAGCCAC